TAAGGGCCCTTGGTCCTCCATATTTCACGCAAAGAAGAGCTTGCAGTTCTGTCCACGGCTTCCACCCTTCTTTATTCTTTTTGATAGTCCTCAAGTTCCCGCCCACAAGAAGCTGTAATAGCAAAGAATTTGAGGGCATGCAAATCGTGATTTAACCGGCGTAGACAATAGTATTTGGGTTTATTTACTGGCCTGCCACCTAAAGGAACGAACACGCGGTCCATAGAGTTGAGGTTGACTCTACTTTCAAAGATAATACCTTCCTGTGTAACATTTTGTTCGTTCAGCAGCAATCTGAAGCAAGCTCCTTGCTAAACCAAATAACCAACTATACAGCTTTAATATCCGTTGCATGCAGCGCGTGTAATTGAAAGGCATTTGCAGATAGCACATTTGTAAAAAGCTGGAAAAGAAAATTGTGTCTGTAAAAAGGTCGATGTATGTTTGAATAAATTTTAAAAGCAGGAAATTTTAAAAACACACGGAAAAAAAGCATTTCCAAGACCACATAACTATTTTGGTCTGATGTGTTTAGAGAATTACGAGAGCTTATTAAAACGAATGCATAAACTACATTTGTACAATGAGGAAATAACGTTTGTTTAATACCTTATTGAGTGATCAGTACATCCAAAAAGACTGCATTTTGTTTTCGCTTTTGAAACACGTAGTTTAAATTGAAAGTAAAGGGATCAGTTTCACGTGCTTGATTCAGCCTACAGTAGAAAAAGATATAATGTAGCTGACAAGTGAAAGTAATATCAGTCAAAAACCAGGAACACTAGCTTTTATGAAATCATTTCCATATGATATATCAAGGAGAATGGCCGGTATTGCATTTGCCGTGTTGTGTCTCCTGGCTTTTTCGGAGGCGACTGTTTTTCTAGACGAACCGGACAATTTGATCGTAGTGGTCGGTGGCCAAGCGACATTTAGATGCGACTTCAACCAAGACTACGACTGTTCAGTATCACAGTGGGTATATTCGAGCTCCCAGTGCAGTCGTGGTTCCTTTGTAACCATAGCAACTTGCCGGTCCGTATTGCTTGTACCATCATTTGACACTAGTCGACTTTCCTCAACGTTTGGTAACAGTACCATTCTGCTGCAAATCAACGATGTACAACTTAGTGACGCAGGGTACTATGCCTGCAGGATAGCTGATCTGAATGAGTTTTCAAGATGTGGACATTTGACCGTAGTTGACCCGCCCACTCCTCAGTGTACGATGTTATCATCAAGTGTCCGAGTAGGAGACACAGTCAGGTTGATGTGTCGAGTACCAGAGGAAGCTCTCACCCGTACAAAGCTGACGTGGCACACGCCTGAGACTTCCAGCTCCACTCGCAGTCTCAAGACAGACCCGGGACAGTCTTACACCATAGAGCGTGTTCTCCAAGAATCTGACAAGTTCAGAGTGCTCACTTGTATTGCTGGCAACCACATCAATAACGGACCGAACTGTACCTTGTATCCGTTCGAAATCAAGACAGTCAGTGTGCGTTTTCAGCAGGAAAACTCGGCACTGATGTTTGAATGCGTCGCGGACGCAGCGCTGCCAGATACTCGCTACTCGTGGTCCGTGAGAGTTGCTGAATTTCCAAACGGTGCACAACCTGAGTGGATCAATGCCAGCACGGACGATAGATTCGTGATCGTCGGTGATCAGACGAGATTTCTTCTGATGATTCCTGGACAAGTCGACGATGGTTTGCAGGTGAGATGTACGGCCTACAGCCCCATTGGCACGAGCAAGACGAGCGAAGCGCTAACCATGATTGGCTGCACCGACGGCCATTTCTTGACCAACAACACTGACTGCGCCGACATCTCTAATGAATCTTCTTCCTACATTTGGATGGCTGCTTTTGCTCCACCCTTGGCAGTGCTTGTTATCTTCCTTCTCGTGTTCTTCATCAAGAAGCGCGTGAGCAGAAAGACGACCGACACGGGAGCAAGATCCACAACCAGCATGACCACACCTCAGCCGACAGGCTTGCTATCAGACCCTGCTCCTTCCTATGATAACCCAATCTCCTCACAAGCCACTCTGTCACCCAATATGCCGAATGTCACAACGCGGATATGTGGTGGTCATCAGTCCAGCTTCGCCCCCATGCTACCCCCACCCAAGCCGTTACCCTTAAGCCAGCGACGCTTTCAACCCCGAGGTATGACCGCGCCGCCGTTGAAATCTCGTGGGCAGAACGCGCCTCAAGCCCCCATCACCGACTCCACCGAAGACTGTCCCGCCTACGATCACATACAACCAAGGATACCCCGAAGAAAATCAACTCGGCCAACGGTAAAGGACAACGCCGACACCGCGGAAAGCTCCATCACAGTTCCTGAATACATGGCTGTCGGAGGTGGGCGTGCACCACAAGAGGCCACGCCCATGTACTCTCTCCCTATCAAAACAAAGAGATCTTCCGTACGTAAGCAGCCACGTGTGGTACAGCCATACGCTGTATGTGTTATTGAAAATGCTTAAATTGTACCATCCGTGGTCTTCACTAAATCCGTCTTCAACGCTCGTTAAAGGGGGCTTTCCCTGATTTTGCTCTGGTGCACACAAAAATTCGCCTGAATCATTGTCGGGCAGCAAATAATTAGAAAGTTGTAAAATAGTTTTAACCAAACGTTGGCGGATTTTTCTTTTTGTTCCATGAAAGTGAAAAATGTTTGTGTTACTAGAAAATATCATTTTGAAAGCTTTCTGTTCTTGTTTTTTCTTCGGATGGGTGTATAAAACTCAAAATAAGCACCTACGGTACATCATTAAACATGTATAAAGTCATATTAAAACAGAAAATCAGAGTAACTTTGTGGACGGCCAGACCATTGTTTTGGCAACTATCCTTTGAGGGATATTAAGCACTGAGACAGCATTATGTAAATGATCAGTTCAATCGAACACGATTTTTTGACTTTTAGTAGCGTATCCAGCTTTGCATGTCGGGGGGGGGGGGCAACCGCACATCCGCGCCAAAATGTAGACATGGTTTTTTTTTTCTCCGGGGGGGGGGGCTCTTCAAAAATGACCATCATTATGTATACTGCAAATTATAGATCACGGCGCATTGTAATGCTTTTTGAGGGTGGTTTTGTTTTGGAGATTGATGTCAAAACTCGTTAACCATTTATTGAAATAATTGCTGAACAAAAAAATTGTGACAAAAATCCGCCGGGGGGTGCAGAATGCCCCCTCCCCCCCCCCCCCCCATTGGAAAGGCCACTGTTTAAAATAGTTTAAAGTTTTTTATTACTGCATTTGTTTTGAACTTTATACACAACGTCGTTCCAAACGGAATAAGTACATTTACCTTCTGCAGTTCAACACCATTTTGTTGATGACAAGTGAAATCGATATAGTTCTGTCAAGGACTTTCACTTTTACCTTTAGTTCCATAAAGTATAACCAACGAAAACCAAAACCAGCGGAATGAATGACAGGAATTATAAAAATATTATGTTGGCCTGTGTGAACATCATGAGGTAGTTCTGTGTATAAAGTGTAACAGTACCAAAGGTGAATAGTACACATTATTAGTAACGTTATGCTTTGCATATGAGGGAACTTTCCATATTACGAGCCTAACTTTGAAAGCTATATATACCTAACCGGGCATGATATCAATTCCACTTCGCAAAGGCCCTCGTCAGAGGGGAAATTGTGGTTGAGAGCAAATCCGGGCGAGGATTATTAGTCGATGGTGGTCGATTCGTGACGTAACTTGCGCCTGCGCACTAATATCAACGTGCGAATGTCTCCAGTCAAACTTTGGTCAAACGATGGTCAATAATTATGTCAACATCAACCGCCAGAAAACCTTAGTAGTGCATGGCTCCCTGCTCACGGTGCATTATGATGCACACGGCTATTGATAACCAGAGATGCAACCGTGCCCCGTGGTACGATTCAAATAGTCGACTAAGAGTAGTCCAACCAGCTTACGTTCGAGCGAAGTTTGTCAAACTTACTATGATGGTTAATAATACCGTTCGCGCCCGGATTTGCTCTGAGAGTTTACACAAACTATACAAAATGTAAATAGCGCCCTCATATTTTATACACCTTATCTCAAAACGGCCACATTAGGCCCCAAAAAAAGTCTCCGGTTTCTGGTATGCGCGCGCGTCGCCGTAGCCATGCGCGTCGGCAAAATGAAAAAGGTTTTTTTTTCAAAACCGCCAAACTCACTGGTTTGACTGGAATCCTGCTACTGCACAATTTTAACGTGTTTTTAGATGGGGTTATGATCGAGAATAAGCTTTATGTGGCCTCTCTGGACTCCCATATATTTTCACTAAGTTTAGTCGGGCACCATTTGCAGTCATCAGCCGACATTTGAAGCAAAAAAGTCAGGTAAAAAAAAAAAAAGCCGCGTCGCCGCACCACTTTTTGGACAAGCTCCATACCAGAAACGGGATACTTATTTTTTTTGGCCTTAAGTGGTAATTTTTGTCATGAGCTGTTAGTTGAAATGGCTAGGTTTGGGTTAACAACCAGCGGGTCGATCGTTACCTTACCAGGCTGAAAACCAATACCAACTCAAGGGTAGCGAATGACATGCAGGTTTACTCAAAGGCATCGCCTTGCATTCGTTGAATTTTAATAACGTAACCAGAAATAATAGCGACTGTCTTTTGTAGATACCTTGAAGTGTTATTGGAGGATAATAAGCAGAAACACAGCGTGCAGGTGTTAAACTCTGCCTTTAATAGATTGTTACGGTTGTTATAAGCTTGTATAACACGCATAACTATTGATTCTAGCGAGTAGCGAGTAAACAAAAATTGATTGAGAATTGTAAGCTCGATTGTCAATACGACACAGAAAGTTAACATGAAAATAATAAATTGATCATAACGGAAAGAATTATTTTAAAATTAATGAACATAAGAGGAAATGTTAATGTTGTTAACCAGATATTTAATAGCGAATATCCCATACAAAGTTGTGGGCCATCAAGTATTCGATGGTTAGATATGTGGTAGTCTTAGTGCAAGACTGGATTTTGATTTTCTCGAATGCAGCCATGCGAGGGCGTGATGTAATAATTATGCTCGGAATTTATCAGGTCCACGGTTGCCAAGACTGAATTTCGATTCATTGTGTATACTAGCGCCCTCTAAGCCAGGGTGACTTAATTGTGCTTGCTTGGGATACGGACCGTTTGTTTTCAGGCTTGGACAAAGACTATTGTGTTACATGTCTCAAATAAACGAAGACAGTTGTAGGAATTGTATCATAACAATAATCGTTTTTATTATAATTGTGTTTTCTAACTCATACGCATGCAGCTTATTAAAACTTAAATCAAAAATCCAAATTGTCCAAATCGCGTCATCGTCTGATTCTTTTTCCTTGCTGCAATCAAATGCGCATCTTCCGCGATGTTGTCTTTTGTTATCTCTCATCATGTTTCATAACCTCATCTTGTTCACTTGTCTCTTGAACTTGATTCGTAGCCTCCGCTCGAGTCACTCTGTCCGCCGTTTCTGCATTGTTCTCATCTTGCCGTAAGCTAGTCTCCTCAGTTCCATCTCCATGTCTTACCGTTGCTTCTGCATCATCACCGGTAGCCTTCACATCAGTCGCTTCTATAACCTCCCCATTTTCTACCGCGGCATGCCCATCGGCTTGTGTATCCTGTTCAGTTTGTTTGCCAGCCTCCTCCTCCAGTCGCTTTGCCTCCTCTGCTGCCTTCTTAGCCTCCTGTGCAGCCTTGCGCTTGGCCCTCATTTTGGCAAAGTCCACTTTGCAGACCATACTGTCGTTAGCCTCACCGTAACCCTTACGACCATTCAGCCAGTACGTGTTCATCGTTCCTTTTCCCTGTGTACACGAACAACTTTTGTGAGCTAAGGAATGCATACATTTTCATTACTTTTCTTTAGAAATTAAAAATAAATCAGAACGTTTCGCATATGTTTAGAGAGCAGATGCACTTGAAGCTTTGCATGGCGGATGAGATAGAGTAGAACAATTGCGGGTAACCACCATGTGCAAAGTAATGTCTCCTTGGAAGAAGTGTGGTTCTGAAAAGAACCGCTTGGTTAAGTGTATAACTCGACGTTTCTTATGAAATGTGAGGCAGGTTAAACTCAAACTGCTAGAATTTGATATTTTACGGACACTTTTCTCAGGGGGAAAACGAAATGAAAGATGGACCGTAGTGAAAGGCAAAAGAAAGAGAAATAATAAAGGACATTTTTCGTTATACTTCCTAATGAAAGTGTAGGCCTAAGACTTTTGGTTCTTTTACCTTGATAGTAATCTCTCCTCGACTCTCCAAGTCATAGGACGCGTCTTTGGAGAGAGCTGCGTATGTGACGTCACTTGCGTGGATCTTATTGGCTGAAGACAATTTTAAAAAAAATCATATTGTTATCAATAAAAAAAATAATGTTTTGGCAGTCCTACAAAGCTCTTGAGGCATACACCCTCAATTAGTTTGTACACTGGATTAAAATGACACTAGAGTTGAATTAGTGTTTTATGAAAGATGTCGTTAAAAAATTTCAAAAAAATTCACAAGGTGAATTTAACACCGCCGTTTTTCCCCCACTCTGCGTGGACATCGTTGTAATAATGACAGCATACATGTTCTGCATATTGAACCACTTATCTAACATATTACACAGCCTGGTGTAAATTTTACGCGATGTGAATTTAACACCGCCGTTTTTTCCACTCTGCATGAACTTCGGTGTAAAAATGACACCATACATGATATGCACATTGAACCACTTATTTAACATATTACACAGCTTGGTGTAAATTTTACACGATGTGAATTTAACACCGCCGTTTTTTTCCCATTCTGCATGAACTTCGGTGTAAAATGACACCATACATGTTATGCATATTGAACCATTTATTCAACATATTTCACAGCATGGTGTAAGTTTTACACCGGAATGTCTATGAACTCACGTAAACCGTTGGATTCCATCCGTGAGGCAGTGTTGACGGTGTCTCCAAACAGACAATACCTCGGCATCTTGGACCCAACGACTCCCGCCACACACGGTCCTATATCGAGAGCAAAACAAAAACCCAAGGTAATTTGGGCTCCATAGCATGGGTTGTTTATTCCAAGAAACGGACCATCATGGCGGAAGGACCGCAGAGTGGACACAAAAATCAACTTCATTTGAAGTCTAAAGGTAATTATTTATTGTCCATCGCGACTTTAAGCCCACTTTTTTGAGTTTTGAGTTTTTCAACTGACTGAAAAACAGTCTCAAATGAAGACTCAGCACGAAACGCGCCTTTTGTCAGTGGCTACGGCCAGTGTAGCATGAATTTAGGTTTTATGAAATACTGACTCATTGGTGGTATTGCGTATGCTCATGCATAGATAATGAGGAGAGGGACCGGTCACGTGAGAGGGTTTAACCAATAAAAGGGAAAAAAGAGTCCGATTTTCATACGAGTCCGATTTTCATATGACACCAGCCGGCCGGCCGCGGCTACGGACGTACCGTGAGGATCTTGATGGCCTGCGGTTGAGCTTTCGATTAGCACGGCTGTTGTGGCTAACCTGACTGCCTTTAACCGAGTCGACCCGGGTAGGCTACTCGAACGCATGTTTGTCGCCCCTAAAAGAGGTGTAGGCCTATGCTTACTTTCACACGGAGTACATACCCCATGGACCCCTTGTGCCGCATGGGTGATAAGGGCTCAAAATTATTTGCGCCGACAACCAATTTCTCAACAACTCTTTTTTTTAAGTGATTTTCGGAAGCAGGTCATCGTAAGCCCGCGGGACAACCTCTACTTGTAACGTCCTTGGAAAATGAAAATACAAGCGCAGCACAGGCGAAAAATAATAAATAATCAGAAAGCGGAAGAGCTCTCAATACCTAACTCACGTTCAGCACGTACGTATTCCACTTTTTTTTTTTAATCAAAGGGTTTTTTTCTCGAATTTTCTCCAAATGATATAGATCGCCACAACCGTTTTGACACACAAAGAATCAAGTTTTTAAGCCTGAATTTTTTTCAAGATTTCAATAATTATTGTTGTCGTTCCAAAATCACGCTGCTCTTTGATACATATCCGGGGGAAATGGGTTAATAATGTTTCGTTTCCGTCGGGCACGGGAATTCTTTTTTTATTTTAATTTTTTGTTTTTGGGAAACACTGGATTCTTTTTTTTTTTTTTATTTTTTTTTTGGGAAACACTGGATTCACCACTGGATTCACTACATTTATTCAAGACAGAATCAAGACAACCACATTCGCGTGAAGGTCGTATTTTTAAATAACAACAATGACGACATAAATCTTATAAGCCATTTTGATAATATCAGCCAGGCTACAGATAAAACCACTTTAAAAGTGAATCTTATTTACATTGGCATGCCTGTTACCGAGGGCGCTGAACGCGTACTGCCTTGACGGCACGACACGTCCCGTATTGTACCGTCTTCGGCAAGAGATAATATTTTTTATTTATTTTTGGAGAGTCTGTCAGACCATTTCACAATTGATTTCAAAAACGGCCTTGACGTAAAACCGAAATGCAATTATTTCACACCACTTGAAGTTGTTCAAAACCGCGTGAACAGCTGATGTCACTTTAATGGAGAGTCAAATAAACTATTGTTTCTTTAAACTGGATTTTTTTTCCTTTCCAGTGAAGGCTCTTTCATAGATTCAATATTTTTTTTTTTTTTTTTTGAGCAGCTTCGTAAGAGAGTGTAATAGACCATGGCGTCAGCATGGTCTATTACATTTGAGCAGATTCGCTGATTAATTATGCAACAACCGCATCTTGACCTCTAGATTTTGACCAATCACCGGACGCTATCTTTATCGGGTTTTCGGTCATTCACCCGTTGCGCGTCATAGACATGGATACGAAAAAACCTGTGTCACGCGCTCTGTATCATATTACGCGAAATGCGCCCGGCTGTTGTATTACAAAACACAGCATTCGAATTGGCCAATCAAACCATAAGTCCTGATTTGGGAATGAAATGATGTCACGATGTGGTAAAGTCGACTCCGATTGGCTGGCGCGCGGCTTGCATAATCTGCATGTTAAGACATATCAGACGTTATACAGAAGCTCCGTGGATAACGGGCGATACTCAGACTAGGCTTATACCAAAAAAAAACTTTGGACAAACAGTCTCACATTCTTGTTCCATGTCAATGCCCTAACTGTTGGGACTGCAGTCAACACAACATAATAAAATTCAATAGAGAACAGTAAACGTATTGTGCTGGAAAAAAATATTAACAATCCAAACAAAAGCCGTGTAGCAAGTAAATAAACATGTTTGTTCCATGTCAATACCCTATAAACTATTTCGGTTTGGAGTCGGACCTGTAAACAAGTGTACGCACGACTTGCACTTGTTTTCTTCAACATGAGCTCGGTTTGTAAAGAAAGACAAATCCTCCAGTCTGGTCTTCATATCAGTACATACGGCCGCTCAGGTTGAACAATAAGATAGTTTGCACTTAATGCGTGTGGCGTCTTTCATGAGCATGTCCCGTGTTGCAGAATTCGTGCCGCACTTTTGATTTGGCTGAAAGACCTTAGAATTCTAATCGTTTGGAATTGCCTCATGTTTGTAATTAAGCGGGTACTGTTTACGTGCCGTAACATCAGATACACAAATTATGCAGCGAGAGCATTTACGTGTGTATTGACTGTTGTCCACTGCCCTGCCCGTTGCTTAGTTAGATATTCATCACTCTGTGTCCTTTGTTATTCAAATATATGCAGATTTATTCGTGAAGAAAATTTTGCAATGGAGAGTTATATTTTCTGTATGCAACGATATTTTGCTCTGCCTGGTCAAATTCTAACACACTATGGTAAAGCCAAATATACGGTGTAACATGACACCATGCTTTATCTGCCCTGAACTATTCGTAAAATATGTGTATTTATTTCAACAAAGAAATAATGTACAATGCAGAACTGAGGCTTATTTTGCACCGTGGTATATAATTGGAATCACTAAACAATATGATACAAGATAAATACACGGCACAGTGTTAATTAAATGCCAAAGTTTTTTTGCAGTGTGACATGAAATCACACTGCAATCTCAACCTCAATGTTAAACACCGTCGTGTATCCTTTTTTAGTGCACACTGAAAAAAAGTGTGGTAGGGACTGGACACCGTTTGTAGTTTCAGCAGCTCACCTTTTAATAGCACTGTAACATCAATTTACATTGCAGATTATAGACACTACCTGGTGTTTAACTAACACTACAGGTTTGTGTAACACGACGTTACGGATACCTGAATGGATGCCAATTGTCAGCTTTAATTTACACTGACAAATTGTGGTATAAACTTTACACTACGGTATCCATACTTAACCATTGCCAATTTAACATTGTGTAACACGAGATTAGGGATATCTGAACGGATGCCGATTCTTAGCTGTAATTTACTCTGTAAAATTACCGCGTCAATTTTACGTTGCCAATTCAACATTGTGTAACACGAGATACAGAAATCACACTGAAAATGTGTTGTTGTGATTGTTACACTGTGTTATCAATGGAACCTTTGACAATTGATCATCGTGTTACACGAGATGAGAGATACCTGAATGGATGCCGATCCTCCGCTGTAAAATTTGCGGTGTAATGTTTACACCACGGTATTTATACTTAACCAGTGGCAATTGATCATCGTGTTACACGAGATGAGAGATACCTGAATGGATGCCGATCCTCAGCTGTAAAATTTGCGGTGTAATTTTTGCACCACGGTATTTATAATAAAACCATTGATAAATGATCATCGTGTATGAGAGATACCTGAATGGATGCCGATCCTCAGCTGCAGTTTACGCGTAGGATCGTGCGGGACTTGCACCTGTTTGATAGCACTGCGTAGATCTATCGCCATCGTAGCAATCTCCCCAGCGTGTTTCTCCCCGTTACGCTCAGGGCAGCCACTGACCACCATGTACGCATCGCCTATCGTCTCCACCTTGTACACGTCGTAGATATCGATGCGGGAATCGAAGCACGTGTATAAATGGTTCAGCATGTCAACAACCTGTTCGGGTGATGAAAATACAGCGTCAAATTCAAGTGTAAACTTCTATACCCTGTAAAGTGTTATATGAATTCAGAGCATAATCATCGAATTAAACGTTAATGCATGTTTACTATTGTGGGTTTTTTTTAAACAAGCTGTCTACAATAGTTATTTCACACAGTGAAGGCCTACATGCCACGTCTACCTTGCTGCAAATTCCTCAATGCAAACAGACTAAGAATCGCACTATTAAACCTTCAAATTATGAGAAGTGATTTTAGCCTGAAAGGTCAGCCATAAAGCGGTGTAAGAACACAGTTTGTGTAGGTTGGGTGAGCTGGATGCTTTTTTGTTGTTCTTTTGTTGTCAAAATAGTTAGGCTTTAATGGTATGCACAAATGATAATAATAATAATAATCGGCATTTAAGAACGCTCTTATTAGTAAACTAAATCAGAGCGCTTACAGTATTATTATTATTACCCCTTATCATTGGGCCAATTAAGCATTCCAAATACCATCTCAGCTCTCCGGGGAGTATACAGCTCGATGCTGCCTGGTAGGCGCAAGCAAGCTTATTCAATCACAATAACCATCTCTGCCCTCACAGGTACCCATTTACTCCTGGGTGGAGAGAAGCAATGAGTGACAAAGTGCCTTGCTCAAGGGCGCACGCACCATGACCCAGGCTGGACTCAAACCCACAACCCGCAGCTTTACCCACAGACCACGAATCCAGTGCCCTTAACCACGATGCCACAGCACTTTATAATAGGTAACCTAATATCGTAATACAATGAGTTTTATTTTTTGTTATTAACATATTGAATGATAAAATTGTAGGCTGGGTTGGTTACAGAGCAGTTATTATTGTCCTCGTGTTCAGTAACTGTTGTATCATGCTAGTATGTTGAAATACAGGAATGAAAAAGTGTTAACATTGTTTTTTGTAATAGTCCCCGCAGAAAAAAAAATTGCAACTGTAATTTTCCGAAATCCATTAATATTAAATTTTGAATGATAAGTAATTATAGACCTAATGGTATGCATGATGGGCGTCAATAGATTTGCAGCTATAAAACCATTTGGATATAATTGTATCTTTTATGAATAACTGGTGTTTAAACAAACGAATAGTGGATTTTTACAGTCATTCACGAATGTCCGTCGTGCTCATTTCGTTTTCAATGATTAGATTTCTGCCACGGACGGCGGAGGGTCATTTCCAACACGGTGGCATTTTTGGCATATTCCTGCTTTGCCAGATTCAAAAAAGGCGAGACGACTTTCTTCTGTGAGCGTCCATTAGTATAATCACATCCTACAAAATTCACAGCCACTGGAGATTTAATCTGATAAAACGTACGACACTTGTGAAATTAACCCAACCCAAACCTTTCTCCCCTGCGAAATTACTCCCCTCTCCCCTTCCCTCAAACACACACACTTACTACTTACTATACTTCTTCGGCCTGCGTGTATTATGAATCTTCAGGTTGGGTTTGCGCTATGGCGTCTGAATAAGGATTCGTATTCATGAAATTCACTTCTAACTTATTTTTTTGAAAGTTCATCCTGTTATTTTGCTCGGCTCAGCTCTATTTTTGGAAACGCTGTGGAGACAAATACGGATTATAGTTTTCTGAAATATGCAATCTTCGGGAAGAGGGTGGGGTTTCGGGCATCTTATCCGCTTTTATAAATTCTGTGTGTAGCTCAATGATATCAGGTATTGTGATTTGGTACACGGTACCCTGTGGAGACATGGGTATTGATGTAGGGAAGAAAAGGTTGCAATTTCTATAGGTGAATACGTCACCGCAAGGTTAAAACGAAATAGATATATATATTTTACTTTTAAAAAAAACTAGGAATTTCCAAGGTGTGTTGATGCGTCGCAAATTGAAGTATTTTATGTATTGGATATTAAGTCCGAATTACAGCTCAGGAAATTAATTCTGATTAAAATAGGAGCATTTTGAAAGTACACTTTCACGAGCACAAAGAACTGACTCCACAAGGATACAAATTCCAGTATCTATGCATGTTCAGTGTTTATTTATAAATGATATTATGTTTACTGTATCAATGTGCCTAGAGAGGACATTCCACCTCAATCAGCGTCAGAAATAATCAATGAAATATTGGTATTATTGTCGAATCGAGAATATATCACAAATTCTTTATCATGTCAATACAGTCAATACAGAAGGAAATAGGTATTTACTTTTTATGGAGGAAGCAGATTCTGCGTAACGAAATTTCGACTTGAAATGGGGCCAAAATTAAATTGAAAGAAAGACTTGTTCTCGGAATAAATATTACCGACCTTTCGCTGCTGTCATTTACAGGGTGATAATATTTTGAGAGGTTTCCATTAGACCGGTGCCTATTTCACACATGCACGGACCAAATGCAACGCACCGCAGTGACGGAAAAAGCGATATCGCTCAAATCAAATCAAAACACAATCAAATTCTATCATTGCGATGAGAATGATACGCAGGTGGACCCTTGCCTCGACCCCCGATATTGATTTCGATTAGGCTATTTTTTCCTTCTCTCATCTAATGCTCGTCTCTTCTTGTCTCTCGTATTGTAATTGATCAAGCCTTGACCAAATCAACCGTCAACGGCATGTTTTGCGACGTCAACAACTGCTACTGGGAGTCAACCGGATCGTGGCTATATTGTAGTACGGACTACGTACCCCTAGCCCTTTGGGCTTTTGGGAGCTACTCATCATAGTTACAAAACCATCGTGGTTTTATCTTCAAGGGCGATGACAATGTAGCCGAGAAATGCAGTTCTTACGACTATGCACTTAATCTACTGACCTAATAAAATTAATTCCCTTGTATAAATATATGTATTCGCCCTCTAATCTGTTTATGTGCATTATTGTTGCTTATTCCGTCAATAGTGTCATTGCAATGTTTCACAGAATTGAAAACGTGGGGGAAATTGTTGGTATTTGTTCCCAGTGCATTGAATTAAATAGCATATCCAATCATTGGCCGCGATACTATTTAGATTGTGGATTCGACACGATAAGTGGATTAATCTTCACACTCTGAGATCGAGCCCGTGTTGTCCTTGGGCATAACAATTTACATGAATTTATGATAATTCTTCCTGCCAATGTTTCATAATAATGTAATGGCAAGCTGTAGACGGTGTATTTTAGGGCCAGTATGCTGTTCTGAATCGACTAGGACATATTGGACAGTGTTTCCTGGGGTTTTTTTTAAATCAAAGGCTACACAAACAGGGGTGTGAAGAGGGGTGTAAAGAGTTTTTTGGTAAAGAGGTTGATGCACAAAATGTATCTTCAATTTAGTATTTTATTTTCTCGAGGTGATGTCAGAAATTGGTCTGCACAGATTCGGTGTATTAGTAATTCAGAAAATTGTGCGTGCCAGTGATATGTCACCTCAAGCCGTGATGTGGCACTTTTTTCGATAAGAAGACTGGAATTAAACCCAGTTCTAATTGGCGTTCCACAGTTGCACGGAACCAAAAGTGTCAAAAAACTAATGACATCGTCTACGCACCTGCAAAGGAGTTATCTGAGCCGAGATGGAGGTGAAGCCCACGATATCAGAGAAGAAGATGGTGACACTGTCGAAACTCTCGGCGTGCACCTGTCGCCTCTCTCTCAGCTGATTGGCCACGGTAGCGGGCAGCATTTGGTAAAGCAGACCCTCCACCACCAACTTTTCTTGCCGTAACTCCAAAGTCTTACCCCTCAGACGGCTGGCGTAGTCGTGAATCCAGCCGGTCATGCTGCAGGCCGAGTACAACAGGACTGGGAAAGAGACCACCACGAGGATCGTCACCACGAATTCCAGGGCGAGTAGACGGGCCGTTGCGTGCATTTCCTCGGCCAGATTCTCGATGGTTTTCGCTCTGAGGTCCCGTTGAATATCCCACAATATTTCTTGGTAATCCGTTGTGACCCGAAACCACTGCATCGCCCCCGTCAAATTGCACACACTTTTATCATTCTTGATTGTCTCTTTCATCAGTGTAAACTGTTTAACTGTATCCAAAGAACCACTTCCAACATTAAAACTAATGTCGCTATTAATACTCAACGCATGTGCGAGGAAAGCATCACCTATCGCGCCTGATGCTGAAAAATCGGATATAAAAATATCGGAATCTAAAAAAGATAGAGCTCCGAAATATCTTTCTTTACTAAAGAAGTGTTTCGATTGCGTCAGTGAGTCATAACTAAGGAATAAATCAGCGTTTATTAAATTGTTCTGAGTTATCTCATCTGTCATTTCTTTAATAATTGCACAAGCGATCTTGTGGTAGAAAAGATAAATAGAGTTTGTGTCATTGTTAAGTGATTTACCAAACGTTCTTTGCTCCATGAGCGTCTGTAGAAACTCCTTTTTCGTCCAATTGAGTTGTTTTAAAGCGTTCAAGAGAACTCCTTTGCGCGAAATGCATCTGTGCAAAGCTTGGTCTGTGTTGATGTAACTGGTGTAGATATCCTCCACAAATCTAGAAGTACGATCGGAATCATTTGAATTATTGGCGCAATTTTGGTGCCAGGCTTTCCCAAAGCCCACCAGGCCCGCTTCGACGTGCAGGGTGTGGGCCAAAGCCTCCTCCTCTGTTGCATTGGTGAGAGCAGTGTGCGTCGCGCGCTGCCAAAAATCCAAATCAGTGAAATGTTGAACATCCACGAGAGAAGAGAGGATGAGAGCAAGACATGACAAGGCGCAGACAAGACTTGTACGGGCAATCTGGAGCTGCTTTCCCCTCTCTGAAGACAAATCGGTCATACAGATGGTCCTTGCTAGTCCTTTCTCTTGGTCGATACCTAGAGGAGCTACGCTGTTGTTACGCCGGAAACCTCGCGTACGGCGTGGACTTTTACGGGGCGATATCTTCTCCACGTCAGCCATCGTGTTTCGTTTTGTCCCTGGAAATTCTCGACGATACTATCACAAAGATGCGTGGCTATCCATAGCTGCTCCCACCGAAGCTTACGTGCAGAGGCCTTTAACGTCTGCTGTTCCGAGATTGTGATTATGCTCAACTTTATATGGAGCAAATGTCTGCCTCAACTGTCCAAGCCTGTCGCAGCCTGGTTTCTGAAATGATCTGCCCTTGGCGACAATCGATCTCGTGGCTTACCCCGAGACATCTGAGCGACCTTGTCGTCGGATGTTGCCAGTTCGCTCCTCGTCTGGCCATTTTGTACTTAATGTGAGACGTCACGCGTAGTGTGCATGGTATTATTCCTTCTGTCTGCTATGTGTTCAGGTGACTCGCCCTTTGTGTAGCAATCCTCTTCCGTATTAATGTTTTTGCCGCCCGCATTGATCGCTTAAGTGCATCAAAATACCTATCAGTGTAAAATCCACAGTGCAAAAATACCTATCTTGACTCCCAGTAACATTTTTTAACTGAATAACTACGAATGAATAACTACGAATGGGTAAAGAATCAGATATTATAATACAAATCTCAGTATAGTGATCTGATGTAACCTTGGATTTTTCAACTGATAACTAACTGGGATTTCAAATCCTGCTTTGACTCGGAGAACAACCTTATCAATCATGTCGGGGAAAAAAACCCAAACGATGAACACAGTCCCCGCAGCAAACAATCTGTCAGGAATAAAAGGTCGTCGAATAGTAGGAAAAAAGACGGCAAATTTTACATTCGAAACGAGCAGAGTGAAATGACAATAAACCGAAGATGAGTTTGTCTTGTTTTGACATTCATCAGAAATCGTCGCTGATTGATTTTTCTCCCGATCGTTATCGGAGGCCCTGTCGTTCATAACTCATTTCGTGTTTCGTCAGAAAATAATTACAGCTTCGTCAAAAATGTGACCGCATGATCTTCTCCCTCTCGACCTTGTGTTTTCTATTCGAGAGGAGTCAGAAAAAGGCTGTTATTGTCTGACTTACACATAATTCCGATGATCCATGCGCTGTTCTACGGGGGGTGGGGGCTAGGGGGCTTTATAACCCCCCCCCCCAAATATTTTGTTTAGCCCCCCCCCCCCCCCCTATATAGGAAATTCATTAAAAAAAACCTGAAATGGCAGTAGCAAATGTTAGAAGGTGACGTCACATGCGAACGGTCTCTTCCCTAAAAATATACTCGTGAGAAGGGGGCAATTGTACACTATTAGGTAATATAGTGTGCATGATTGCAGGATTTTATCGACCCTCCCCATTGAAAATATGGTACAAGCCCCGCCCCCTCCTATTGATTTTCGGAGGCCTAAATGTCCGGAGAGAAAAAATGGTCTACATTTTAGCAAGCCTCCCTGCAAAAAATTCTGGATCCACCCCTGCTGGCCCCCCTAAAATATAGGCTCCAGAACCGCGCCTGTTCTGATCTCTGGATTCTCGTTCAACGAGTAAATAGCAATACAGGCCTAAACCGAGTGCACAATGTAAAATAATAAGACAATACACGAATTCAAATTGCGGAAATAATCGATATCACACCAAGTCAAATCCAACTACAGAAGATGTTGCATCAATCGTTTGCGCGTGCGCTGCTTAATCTACCTCTCTGATAGGCGGCTGACTGACACCTCATTTAAATAACTCCGCCCACAGCAGACAAATTCACCTTTTTTTTAATAGTTCCATCGTTCTTTCACATGCGTCCAATGCCGTTCACTAAAAAAACGCCATCATATAACATGAGTTGCAAGTATCACAGAGAGGTTTATTTGGTTACAATTTTTGAGTGCACAAAAAGCTCACTCATGCCTATCCTATAGCGATACCAAACCATTGCCCTCTGACTCCGCCCTAACGCATATGGTCTATTTCGCCATATCAGGCTTGCGCACCATCGATACTTTCCAAGACGCGATACATAGCAGTTCCGTTTCCGGCTACACGTGATTTCCCTATGTCGCATGCACAGTCGACATTGGATCGCAGATTGTTCAGATGTGAATCGAATCAAACTGGAAAACCCTCGGTTAAGTGGAAGCCAGAATGAAAATCGACGCTTGAAATAATTGCAGCGCACGTCTCAAAGTACCGAAGGGATGATGAAAAACCCTTCAAGTGCCGGATACGGCAGAGTGTGTCTGGTCAGCTTGCTGTGAATAATGCGTGTGGATGCCAATTTTCCATGGGATTTATCTCGATATGGGAAATGCTTAGATTGGTGCGTTGAGCCGTACAGTCAGAGCAGCAGATAAAGGGTCGGATCGGGCGGTGCTAGGGAAAAAGAAGAGGCTGGCACCATGTAATATCAAACTCATAATACATGTATACGGTCAGTGGTTTTATTGTGGGACGTAACATGCTTGCACCAAAATTACCACTGTAACTTGATGTACGGGGAGTCGGGCAATGCACAAAGTAACGTAAATCTATAGTCCATGAAATCCGTGCGTGAACAAATGAGGGCGCTATAACTTCTAAATAACGAACGTGCAATGCACGAAGGACACTGTACCAAGGTGTCAGATCATTTGGCTACGGCTAGAAATGACACGCGCACCTTTGGCAGCCGTATGACTAGTGGCTGCAGCCACTTTCCATAGACTCGTGTGATATTTCAGGCCGTAGCCGTTGCATGTGATCCGGAATTAGCTGGAGTCAAGCGCGCTGTTCGCCGTTCGTATAAGGAAAGATGGCGGTGAATGGTCCGTCAGTATCGGCTGCCTTTCTCATGTACACCGATGAGGGGGTACTTGTGCATGCAGTCCATATTACATTGTCGCCTCAATGATGACCACGGTGGCCTCTCGGGATTCACACGCGAGGTAAATTCAGAGAACTTGTGAGAATCTGCACCTTTAATGTTGCCCTCTCCGCTGTTGCATGGGTTTGTATTAAAGGTTTAAACCATTGCTATGACGTCACAGTATTGTTAAAAGTGTGGATTCGGAACTACGAATCTGTTACGCTGGTCACAAAGTGTGGATTCGGAACGACGAATATTTAGTAAAGTGTGGATTCAGGATTGCGAATCCACACTTTGAACACGTCAGACAATAATTATTGTTCTCCATTACGAGCATAAACAGGACCGAATGCATGAAAGTTTCCTTCCGAAATTACTAATGCATCTTCCCCGTCAGATTCTCCGCCGTCACTGCAAAACCTACTTCGAGTCAGAAGGAAATCATCGTCTGAACTATCCATAGGCTCTATGTCGACGGAAGGAGCCTGAAAAAATGTTGCAACCTGACGCCACTTTTTTTTTCTTCATGATGATAAGGCATGAATCTGGGACTGAGAAATATTTCCAATTTTGTTAGGAAATACTTAGAAAATTTCCTTGACTCTCCATAGACTTTGTATACAATAGCGGAAGTGGCGTCAGGTTGCAACATTTTCCCAAGTCTTTTCATCTCCACTCACTGTTAATGCCAATACTTCTGTTTACGCAATGGTTTAAGTCGAAGAATACACTCGCAAGTGTGGATTCTTAATTTACGAATCCACTCGGCGCTTCGCGCCTCGTGAATTCTTAAATTACGAATCCACACTTTCTCGTGTATTCTCCTTAACATAGTCCATCATTTGTAATTCGTGCATTTTGTTCGTTTGAAGCAACAAACATGCTCAAAATCTAAAGAAGGGTGTTACAACTGATAATGTAGTAACCAACTGATAATGTATCACCAACCGATAATGTGTCACAAATTGACCGATACTGTATCACTAAACCGATAATGTAACAGAAATTGACCGATAGTGTAGTAAATGTTACTACACTATCGGTCAATATTTGTTACATGTTCGGTCTTAACCGATAATGTAACAACAATCAACTGATAGTGTAGTACATTTTTACTACACTATCGGTCAATTTCTGTTTCATTATCGGTTAGTGATACAGTATCGGTCAATTTGTGTGACATTATCGGTTGGTGATACATTATCCGTTGGTTACTACATTATCAGTTGTAACAAAGGGTACTGAACAACTAACCTGACGAAGGTTCAGCAGTATATTTCGAGAAAAACAGCATTCTGGGATCTCGATTTCAAATCAAAAGTTGCTGAATCGTGTTTTGAATTGGGCCTGAATTCAGCGTCCGTGAAATTCACTTTCTCGCGATGTCGCGCACTGATCCGACCATCCGACGAATATAGCAACCGCGCGCGCGTGTGCGTCGTGTCCACGCTTGCGCGCGCTTTGCCGAATAAAAAAAACGAACTACTAAATAACGGAAAATTTCCAACGGTGCGGAAAGACCTTCTTTCGTTGATTTCTTCAAAATGACAGCATGCCAGAAAGAATTACTTCACAGGGATTTTAGTCCCCTTACTATCTTTCAACCAAGTATATTTTTCTACAATTATTACGTCGGTTACTTTTTTGATAGCTGCAAATGATGGACTGTAGCTTTAAAGTGAAAGATATAAAGATTTGTGCTTTAGTAAATGGTACACTTTGTTTCCATTTCGCTTAATAGTCGCATCTCGTGGGCCCAATTATTGAAGTGAATGCCATTTTTTATATCAAAATTGGGATAAAAGGATTGATTTGTCCATTGAGAGGAAAAGTTGGATATAGAAAGAGCTTCTAACGATGTACGCACGGAGCCTCGACAACGATCATTAGTTCGAGTAAACGTGCCATTTGGGACTTGATTTAGGTCTGACGTGTAATAATGAGAGGGTTTTTATCAATCGAACAAATTCTTTGCAAATTTGGTCACTAAGGATTTGCGAGACGTTACGAAAGATCAAATATAACTGACAAACGTTCACCTTACAACAAATCAAAATTATGTAGCTTACAAATTATATTTCCGATTTCAGGTGACACAGAAGACAAGACTTAGTTCAGCTATCCACATACCCAGCAGTAAAACCCAAAAATATTCATTTACCTTTGAGAACATGAGTAACTATGATCATTGTACTTGACCAGACATAATTTATTTCGCCATTGCAAAGCCAAAAATCAATATTCATCGTGTGCATCAACTTACTAAGGCATAATTTCCTATTAAGACTCTTTTTGAGTACTGATTGGCAAGGATTAATTGTTTGTCCCATTACCATGCAAACCCAAGCCTTGAAGTCCGGAATTCTCGGTTGGTTGGGAGTTTAGGTCAACAAATACATGCCAAATGGAGATTTGCAATAATGAAACTACGTCATTTCGATCAAAAGGAATTTTCAGAATTTCTGACTTGTGTAAATAATTAATGTTAGTTTGACGAGTTTGCCCCCCCCCCATGCAATGTTCCCCTCCCTCATAATTAGAAAGCAAAATCTACAGTATTGTTTAAAATTGAACAAACTCATTGTGTGCCCCCTAAATGTATTCTATGTACGTTGGACTCCATTTTACGAAGCTGCCCCTTGTGCGTTTAACATCCAATGGGTTAAAAAAAAAAGTGTGTGATTCTGTCTACTTCAGTCGTTTTAGCCTGTGACAGCTTTCGCATCTTTCCCAGTTGTGAAACGAGAAGCCCGGCTGTTCGTCCCACCAACGCACCTTCAGGCGCCTCATCAGGCCGGGCAGGGCGTCGTGCTCCAGGGCGGACTGACTCGACGCGACGCGGTCACGCACTGATAATTCCCGGTAGGCGAAGAGACCAACGGTGGCTAGACAGGCGAGGAATAGCGACAGAGGGATCTTGGAGCTTTTTTCTGACGATACAAAGAAGATGGAGTCAAAATTTGTTTGGAAAACGACAAAAGTCCTGAAGTGATGCTGTCGTAGCATGGATGCTTATGAAGCATTTGCCTCCATATTTCTAAAAGTTGTCATGCTCCTCAAACGTAATCGTCTTCAAGATCCACACAATCCATCACCTTTGTTTTGCAGACACCTTATCCAATCATGCGGATACTGATTACGATGGCGAAAGTGGCGATTATAGACTTGCCAATGCCACCAACAATCCGCCTTGAACTGATTTGCCCGGGAATATTTTGTACTCAAACTGTCTGCGAGGGAGGATCAAGGGCGGATCCAGAACCAAATTTTCGGGGGGGGGGGGCAAGAGGGCTCCAAAAGGGTATCGGAAGGGGGTTAAATATATAGTATCTTGCGCTATTTCCACATTGTAATATTAAAACTAAAAGGTATATAGCTGGTGACGAGGGAGATACGCAACGTTTTCCTGACAATTTTCTTCACTCCTACGATAAAAAAGAAAATCAATGGCTCCCATTGGCCCCTGAATTCACCAATGGGGAACTAAGATTTACAACACCAACACCCCCCCCCCCAACATCTACAAAAACGGTCGAATTTATAATTCATATCTTCAGACAAAATACTACAAAACCAATAAAGACTAATATGCTATTTAACGACACTTGCGCTATATAATGCTTCTCCTTTTTGTTAACATCACTTCATTATTTATCTAATGATGATGACATGAAATAAATGAATCTGAACTGATATATATTAACATTACATGTTCATTCATGAATGCTGATGCCCCAATCATGCTATGCAAACGAAACATTGAGGATGCAGTTGAAACAAAACGATTTTCGCAATTTCATAAATTATTCACTCAACCACCAACCAATTTAGGGACTCCATTGAACAGAAAGCTAAGTGAATATTGATAAATGTCATTCAGTTTGCACAGTCAAGGAGAACAATGATGTTATTCGCAGTCACTCAAGCCAGGGCCCCCTGTGGCCAAGGACGGGGTATCATTTCAGGAAATTGAAAATCAACGACGCTATTACCGTACTGGCGGGAAAGGTCTAAGCAATGATAACAAACACAGGTGGTGTTCGTGATATGAATTCCACGATAGGATACAAATAGCCGAGTGATTTCATTTATTGCTTTAATAATTTGAGAGTCCAACGAATTTTGAGATGAGAAATATTGACTTTATATAGATAGTCTTTAATTAACGGGGGGAGGCTTTCAAAGCAAATTTAGAACTGAATAATTGTAATGGCGGAGCATATATCACTTTTTTATAGATTTTGATTTTTTACAAATTATATTTATATTTTGTTGTCGTTGTGCTCACCTTTTGTTTTTAATTCGTTATCAATAAAATGACATTTTGTCCAGATATCATAAAAGCATCTGATACCTTCTAATATGAGATAACTTCATAGTGCTAGACGATACCCGCATAGTATTTAATATCAAATGTAGATACCTTCATAGTACTGTCAGATAACTGTATAGTATGCCCATCTAATACTAAATACCTTCATAGTATTTTATGCCAAAAAACTTCATGGTATTGATCAGATACCTTCCTAATATTAAGATCTTTGATACCTTGAAAGTATAATGTGCTATAAGATAGCTCCATAGTATTTGATATTATACACCTTCAAACGATTGATATTAGATACCTTCATGCAGTATTTACTATAAGGTACCTTCATAGTATTTCTTTTCCAGGAATACGGAGCAGGAGTAATCGTCATCATCTGCTCGCTCGCTGTTTGTCGACTGATGGTAATAGTGGTCGTCGCACGGCGCCCTCAACGACCACTCTGACAAAAATGCGCCCGCTTATGAAACGAAAAAGAAAATCAACAGATTTTTTGTTACGATTGTAGTTGGAAAAATTAAAAACAAAGGAGAATTTTACGTTTGATGTTTTCACAATTCACATAATAACTTGGCAATTCGTATCCCACTTTGGTATACATTTGCACATTGCGTTCATTGCACTTATGCAAAACCTTGCTCAAAAACTATGAATAGCATGAAAAAAATGAAGGATGTGCATGCATTGGTAACAAAAGTACACATTGAAAAATAATTTTCGGATAACGTATAGTGACTATAGACCTCATATAATAAAAAGACAGTTAATGTTGTTCTTAGCACAATCATTTTTATCACGTTTGTCAGTTTGTTGAGACCATATCTTTCTGCTGAAGATTACGTCATATGCCGACCGAAACGTACTGAGACTTCTTTACATCGGCCCTCTCTTTCACAGTAAGTTGCTTCACATCATACTCTCTCAAACCTTTTCCGGTAGAAATTCACTGCCTGAATCACGAAGTGAAACTCACCTGGAGAAATGAGCACAGTGACGATCAACAAGAGGACTTTGGAAGTCGTAATCATCTTGCAAAACTGGTCCACTTTCGTCTATGCCAAGGTGTAAAAAGTGTAGATGTCCAAATCGTGTTTGTGATGAATGTGATTCACTTGTTCGTACGTAGGGCCTACATGTACAACATTTGGTTCTTATTTTGTTATCAAGTACGCGTTGCTGTGCGCGCGCAATATGACGCGCAGCGCATTGGTTTACGCGCAGCTCTCGTCATAGTCACGCCCATTATTATGTCATAATCACGCTCATTATAACCTCCTAATTTACATGTTATACGTCGCTACAACAACGCTAGGGCTCTTCACCTGTGAAAGAAGTTTATCACAATTCAACTTGGAATGTTTTCACACGTTCTAAAAATGCTTTTTAATTCTCAATTATTTATAGTAATATATTTTCATCCTCCTCATATAAGCTAGACAATGCCAGGCCGTAAATTACAGTTTAAATCCTTGAAATGTTTAAACTGTGCTTCATTTGTTTCCCTATTTTAAGGTGACCCGTCTACTTTGCTGAGTTACTCAAATTACTGAATGGTAACAATGTCTTAATGATCTGAAAATCCTAGTGATGGTCTATGTATCATGAGAAGCACTAGTTTGTCAAACAAACATTTATTACGAAATTATTCATCCAGTCACGAGTTAGTTAAGTTACAAAATATGTTCTTTAGAGTGGAAACACTGACAGTTACAAGAATTCAAAGTTCTCCATATACCGGTACTACATCTAAAATTCTAAATGCAGTGTGTACTGGATGTGCTACTATACTGCGCAGGCCTTCCTCTAACTGTCATAAGACTATCATTTTGCAGTGCACACAAGATCGGAATTGATCCAAGTCAACTAGTTTTCTGGCTTTACACGCTTTCCATGAAGGATTTCGTAGAATGGCCGCGCCTCGTCGATTAACTCACGAAGTACCTGCGGCAGACCACTCAGATCAACGGGCTTGGGGTCGCTGGCTACCCAACCCGAACTCTTGAGGGCGTTTTCGTAAGCCCCGTTAATCTTGTGGAAGGCGAGCATGGCCTTGGAGTTGTTCCAAGGTATCTCCGTGATGGGCTCCCACTTGAGGAGAGATTCTCGGAACGGGAGGTCCAGGGCCTTGCAGAATGCACGCAGCATCTTCTCAGGGTCACGCTGGAGGTCATCTGCATCTAAGATCACGGGAGGTTTACCCAGCCAAGATTCCAGATGCTCTGCCAACTTGACCAGGTCTCCAAATCCGCCGCCCGTCATTCCTGTCGATTTGACAAACTGCACGTACTGATCCGCAGTCAACCCCGTGCGCTCCGTGAGTCGCATGTTAGAGCTGACGGTCTTCTCCGGGTTGCGGATGATGAACGCGTGCGTGTAACCAGTAGGCAGCTTGTCGTACCACCCCGTTACGTTACTGGCGAGGTCCTTGATAAAAACAAGATCCCTGGTTGGATAGTCGGCCTCTAGGAGCGCCTTGACTTCAGCATACGACATCTCGTCATCCACTTTTATCGGCAGGGGAATATGAATGGTGGCGTCCGGGCCGAAACTGGCTGCTCCCGCATACAGCTCATTGAAGACTTCCACGTTGCCATAGTTACCGAAGCTCATTACCATGGCAGTAGACAAGCAACGCGCAGTGGACCAAAGGGCGAGGCGTTTGGGTTTAGAATCCGCCATTTTCAGCAACTCACTGTAATAACAGAAGGAACAAACGTCAATTGGATAGTAGGCTCTAAAAAGTCCATGGCCTATACTTTTCAGGATAAAACATTAATGGCAATGTTCTAGGCCAAAATTACCAGAGAAGAGTTAGTCTAACTCGGGAAAGTGTCGCCTGTGCTAGGTCTGTAAAATGCATAAAAGCCACTTGAATTTCCTTCAGAAAAATTCGAAAAATAAATACGGGTATAGTCCCAGCCAATTGCACACGCTTTTCGTACTGAAACGTTTTGTCAGAAGAAAACAACTCACTGAGATTTTAGATTGTTGTCATCAGTCTCTTGTAGCGTGCGCGGGTCAATTAACTTTTTTAATCATGCACGTGTCGTACTACGTGTCAATAGTGTGATCCTAAATAACTCTGTTGTTTGCCAATGGAATTAAACTAAAATTTCAGATCATGTAAACATGGCATGACAAATTTCACGGAGCGAGTTTCATCAGCTCTGTGCAAGGGAGTGATATTTAAACGCCGTACGAAAAAGATACTCGCTTTCAGAATGTCGATACAGCGCTGGAGACGGTTGCGGAAGGCGCGTGCTGCGGCCGAAAGCTTCTGAAGGAATGCAGGATCACCCCCTGATGTCATTGCACAGCTCCTCGATCGTGTGTTGCGATAAACGATCGAGAAGCTGTGCAATGACATCAGGGGTGATCCTGCATTCATTCAGAAGCCGTCGACCGCAGCACGCGCCTTTATCTCCATGCAACGCTGTATCGACATTGGAGGACACTAAGTTGAAAGTGGCAGATTCTAAAAGTAAGGTTTTTTTCGTATAACGTTTAAATCTCACCCTCTTGCACAAAGCTGATGAAACTCGCTCCATTAATTGTGTCCAGTCTTGTTGACATGATCTAAAATGTTGGTTGATTCTATTGGTAAACTAAAAGGCACGCACTGAATAATTGCCTGGGTTAATTTTACCCAGAAAGGGTGAAAACTGCAACGACCCAAAATTGGGTTGTTCTTTACCCAATCGTTTGGGTTAGCCTATAATTTCTATTAAATTCAACAGAAACTTGTGGTCATTCAAGACCAAATTTATTTTGGTCTTATATGACTACAACGTTTGGTTGAATTTAACAGATATAGGCTAACCCAAACAATTGGGTAAAGAACAACCCAATTTTGGGTAGTTAAAGTTTTCACCCTTGCTGGGGTAAAATTGACCCAGGAATTTTTTAGTGCTCAGAGAGTGCAAACCTCCGCCAAGGCTAAACAATTCTCAGCCATATTGTCAGTACACCCAAAAAGAATCACTCGCATAATGGTGAACAATCCTTTAAAAATCCTGGATCCAGACCCAGATTCGGATTAGTTCCAGAATGTGATCGATTTGTACTTTTATGAAGAACCACCCCTAAAAAAATGTTCATGCAAATCCTTTCCATAAGTGTTCGAGTTATCGTGTTAACAGACAAACCAACAAACCAACCAACCAACAAAGTAACCAAATTCGATGAAAACATAGCCTCCTTGGCGGTAAAAACAAACTTCAAGTAATTAGGATCAAAAGTAGGACATGTTTTTTTTTGGACAAGTATAACAGAGAAAGTTGTTGCAGCTGATGGAGGAATGAAACTTCATGTATAGCCAGCATAACAAATAGCGTACGTAATGTGGTACGTGGGACACTGAGCTATTTTATCAACAATAAATTCTCAATCATTTGGAACATCCAAATAAATAAGCCCTTAAAACACACTTTTTCCCACCAAACTATTTGTAATCTTTGTCTTACTCTTGTTCAGCGCATTGGGGACAATTTGTGTGAAATACGCTTCAAACGCACCGTTTGTTATAATTATAATAAGCCTCTGTACTAATGACGTCACACTTGTTTTACATACGCACTTTCTTATGGATCCATGGGGGCCCACGGTCCACTGAGCACCATAGGAAATCACACATAAACAAAGTGTGACGTCATCAGTACAGAGGCTGTGACCTTTTCCAAATATTACCGCAGAGTGACAAAACTCGTGCATTACACGCACAGGTCACGGTCGGGTTATGACACCATTGTGTGTGGGAGATTGTTCACTGCCATTGCAAGAAACGTGTGTATATGCAATGAAAACATGATCCATGCAGTATAAGCTTTGGACCATAGCCTAGCCTACTGCGATGTAAAACTCTGTTAATATTAAAAACAGGTTGCACCGCGCCTTTTACATGTTGGCTTGTATGGAAAAAGCACTGTACAACCAGTTCGCCAGCACAGAAAAAATGCGACGAATTTTCTCATGCATCATCATACGTAATGTCGACATGTACAAATTATTATGTCGGCAATTGTTTACCTCGAAGGAATTTGGAGTTAGGAAGCAAATTCAACTGTACATGCAATATCAAAGCCGGCAATTCAACAATGTTCAACATAATGTTGCGGAATTGCAGGGGCATGGGATTTTATCTCCTAAGCCAACACATGCAAGTGAACAGTACTGCCATGGCACTCGTCCAACATCTCAAGACCTTTCGATTATTTCTAACATTTACATATGCATGCCTTATAATGTTTGTACACTTACACATTAAAACGTTCGGAGACTGGCACATCAACACCGTACGTGGCACGTACTATATGCTGTCAACTTAGACACCAACTTAAAAATGCGAACTCACGTATGTTCTGATGAAATGTGTATGTTCGTGGAGCTGGAGGTCGTGCTATGATGATATTGACCTACATAAATTGTCAGGGGTGCTGTGACCGGGGGTGCAGGCCAGTAAATCGGTCCAAAACTGCCTACGCCGACCAAATCACGACTTGCGTGGCCTCAAATTATCCAGTATTTGAGCATATTGTGGGCAATGAGCTTGAGAGTTTGCAACAATAATTAGGGTGGAAGCCGTTCACGTGATAGTGACCTTGTATTTCTATGAAACTTGGATGAAATTGGAGCCCTAAAAGCGCTCTATTTTGCAATGGAGTGAATGCACCGTTTTTAAAATGGCGATGGGCTTCAGGACTATTTTAAGGGGTGGTCATCTTCGGATGGAAATTTCTCCCCGCAAACGTCATGAGATTACCCCCAAAAAATTGAAATGAAAATGAAAGATGGGGAAATTTGATGTGTGTCTCGAACACCTTGGAGAGGTGTGAGTATTTTTCCTGAATTTATCAAAAGGGGGCATTTATCATTGGGATGTGTGGCAGTTTACGGCACCCTGTGATGTGACGGAGGTACGACGACGGCTGTTTGATGCTGTATAATTAGCAACCGTTGAGGGGCAAGATAGTGGCATGTAGGCCTATATATCAATTTCAACTTAAGCATTACACTCATGTCCGTTTTGTTCCTTTTTTCACACACAAAAAACACAGATCGTGTGATTGTAATGTTTGTTATCTATGAGTGTGTTCGATTAGCTCACCCGGGTCGAGGGGGTCATCCCCGTGCCGTTCTATCAGCTCTAACGTCATTCCTGGGGATCTCCCGGGTCAGCCACCACTGACCCTAGGGCCCTGCTCGTGGAGCTGCGCGCGCGTCGCCGTAGCCATGCGCGTCGGCAAAATGAAAAAGTTTTTTTTTTCAATGAAAGATGATGTCTCAAAACCGCCAAACTCACTGGTGTGACTGGAATCCTGCTGCTGCACAATTTTAACGTGTTTTTAGATTGGGTTATGGTCGAGAATAAGCTTTATGTGGCCTCTCTGGACTCCCATGTATTTGCACTAAGTTTAGTTGGGCACCATATGCAGTCATCAGCCGACATTTGAAGCAAAAAAATCAGGTAAAAAAAAAAAAAGCCGCGTCGCCGCACCACTTTTTGGGCAAGCTCCATACCAGAAACCGGAGACTTTTTTGTTTTGGCCTAAAAGGCTATAGGCCTAATTCCAGCCCAACTTTTTTTTTTTAGTTCTGCACTTGAAAAGCAGTAAATCTCAATGAGGACCCAGCACAAAACGGGCGTTGTCAGTGGCTATGGCTGCGGCTATACGGAGTCACGTGAGGATCGTGATGGCCCGCGGTGGAGCGTTCGGTTGTCGTAAATAACTCGTCTACCTGAAGTTACCCGAGTTCGGGTAAGCTACTCGAACGCACCTATACTGCTCTGAGGCAAGTTAAAACTGTACGAGATCGTTGTCTATAGCTTTATTGTGGAGTGACTGTTGCATGGATCTGTGGTAAAATCTTGAACGAGAGAATTCTTTAACAGGCATAAACATTGGGTTAATTCAAGGTAAATTTAAGCTCACTGTTGAACTACGGTATAGGTTGTACTTAGGCAAACGCAGGGAATTCGGAAGAGAGTGGGACTGGAACAGTGGCGGTTTTACGGGGGGAGGCTAGGGGGGCTTTAGCCCCCCCAAAAATTGTCTAGCCCCCCCCCCCCCCGAAAAAAAATCCATAAAAAAAATTGTACTAGCAAAATGAAAGAATGTGACGTACATGCGAACGGTCTCCCCCTAGAGATATAGTCGTGAGAAGGGTGCATTTGTACACTTTTGGTTAATATAATTATCAAGTACGCGTTGTTGTGCGCGCGCAATATGAGGCGCGGCGTATTGGTTTGTGCGCAGCTCTGGTCATAGTCACGCCCATTATTATGTCATAGTCACGCCCATTATAACCTCCTAATTTGCATGTTATACGTCGCTACAACAACGCTAGAGGGCTCTTCACCTGTGAAAGAAGTTACCCAATTCAACTTTTAATGTTTTCACACGTTCTAAAAATGTTTTAATGTATAATTCTCAATTATTTATAGTAATATATTTTCATCCTCCTCATCAGCTAGACAATGCCAGGCCGTAAATTACAGTTTAAATCCTTGAAATTTTAAAAACGTGCTTCATTTGTTTCTCTATTTTTAAGGTCTACTTTGCTGAGTTATTCAAATTACTCAGTGAATGGTAACAATGTCTTAATGATCTGAAAATCGAAAAGAATGTGATCAACAAAATATTCATCCAGTAACGAGTTAGTTAAAAGTTACAAAATCTGTTCTTTAGAGTGGAAACACTGACAGTTACAAGAATTCAAAGTTCTCCATATACCGGTACCGGTACTACATCTAAAATTCTAAACGCAGTGTGTACTGTACTACTACACTGCGCAGGCCTTCCTCTAACTGTCATAAGACTATCATTTTGCAGTGCACACAAGATCAGAATTGATCCAAGTCAACTAGTGTTCTGGCTTCACACGCTTTCCATGAAGGATTTCGTAGAATGGCCGCGCCTCGTCGATTAATTCACGAAGTACCTGCGGCAGACCACTCATATCAACGGGCTTGGGGTCGCTGAATAACCAACCCGAACTCTTGAGGGCGTTCTCGTAAGCCCCGCTAATCTTGTGGATGGCGAGCATGGCCTTAGAGTTGGTCCAAGGTATCTCCGTGATGGGCTCCCACTTGAGGAGAGATTCTCGGAACGGAAGGTCCAGGGCCTTGCAGAATGCACGCAGCATCTTCTCAGGGTCACGCTGGAGGTCATCTGCATCTAAGATCACGGGAGGTTTACCCAGCCAAGACTCAAGATGCTCTGCCAACTTGACCAGGTCTCCGAATCCGCCGCCCGTCATTCCTGTCGATTTGACCAACTGCACGTACTGATCCACAGTCAACCCCGCGCGCTCCGAAAGTCGGATTCCGGAGCTGACGGTCTTCTCCGGGTTGCGGATGATGAACGCGTGCGTGTAACCGTTCGGCAGCTTGTCGTACCACCCCGTTACGTTACTGGCGAGGTCCTTGATAAAAACAAGATCCCTGGTTGGATAATCGGTCTCTAGGAGCGCCTTGACTTCAGCATACGACATCTCGTCATCCACTTTTATCGGCAGAGGAAATTGAATGGTGGCGTCCGGGCCGAAACTGGCTGCTCCCGCGTACAGTTCATTGAAGACTTCCACGTTGCCATAGTTACCGAAGCTCATTACCATGGCAGTAGACAAGCAACGCCCAGTGGACCAAAGAGCGAGGCGTTTGGGTTTAGAATCCGCCATTTTCAGCAACTCACTGTAATAACAGAAGAAACAAACGTCAATTGGATAGTGGGCTCTAAAAAGTCCATGGCCTATACTTAGGTCTGTAAAATGCATAAAAGCCACTTAAATTTCCTTCAGAAAAATTCGAAAAATAAATACGGGTATAGTCCCAGCCAATTGCACACGCTTTTCGTACTGAAAAGTTTTGTCTGAAGAGAACAACTTACTGAGATTTCAGATTGTTGTCATCAGTCTCTTGTAGCGTGCGCGGGTCAATTAACTTTTTAAATCATGCACGTGTCGTTCTAGGTGTCAATAACGTGATCCTTAATAACTCTGTTGTTTACCAATGGAAATAAACTAAAATTTCAGATCATGTAAACATGGCATGACAAATTTCACGGAGCGAGTTTAATCAGCTCTGTGCAAGGGAGTGATATTTAAACGCCGTACGAAAAAGATACTTGCTTTCAGAATGTCGATACAGCGCTGGAGACGGTTGCGGAAGGCGCGTGCTGCGGCCGAAAGCTTCTGAAGGAATGCAGGATCACCCCCTGATGTCATTGCACAGCTCCTCGATCGTGTGTTGAGATAAACGATCGAGGAGCTGTGCAATGACATCAGGGGTGATCCTGCATTCATTCAGAAGCCGTCGACCGCAGCACGCGCCTTTATCTCCATGCAACGCTGTATCGACATTGGAGGACGCCAAGTTGAAAGTGGCAGATTCTAAAAGTAAGGTTGTTTCGTATAACGTTTAAATCTCACCCTCTTGCACAAAGCTGATGAAACTCGCTCCAAAAATTGTGTCAAGTCTTGTTGACATGATCTAAAATTTTGGTTGATTCCATTGGTAAACTAGAAAGCACGCACTGAATAATTGCCTGGGTTAATTTTACCCAGAAAGGGTGAAAACTGCAACGACCCAAAATTGGGTTGTTCTTTACCCAATTGTTTGGGTTAGCCTATAATTTCTATTAAATTCAACAAAAACATGTGGTCATTCAAGACCAAATGTATTTTGGTCTTATATGACTACAACGTTTGGTTGAATTTAACAGATATAGGCTAACCCAAACAATTGGGTAAAGAACAACCCAATTTTGGGTAGTTGCAGTTTTCACCCTTTCTGGGGTAAAATTGACCCAGGCATTTTTTTAGTGCTCAGAGAGCGCAAACCTCCGCCAAGGCTAAACAATTCCCCGCCATATTGTCAGTACACCCAAAAGAAACACTCGCATAAAGCCCGGTTCATACTTCACGCGAAAGCATGTGCGAAGCGAAATTCATGTCGTCAACAATAGTGGACGCGCTTCGAATGTATTGTTGACGTCACGAATTTCGCTTTCGCTTTCGCGTGAAGTATGAACCGGTGTAGCGTGAATATCCAACTCCATGAAATGTGGACTCATTGGTAGTACTGCGCACGCGTGAGTACGATACTAAGCTATTTTTAGGATCGTTTCGGGAGAGTGACCTGTCACGTGCGAGGGATTAACCAATAATAGGGAAATAGGGGTCCGATTTTCATAGGAGTCGGATTTTCATGTGACACCGGGCTTAATGGTGAAGAATCCTTAAAAAAATCCTGGATCCAGACCCAGATTCGGATCACTTCTAGAATGTGATCGATTTGTACTTCTATCAAGAACCACCTCTAAAAAAATGTTCATGCAAATCCTTCCGTAGGCTATGTGTTCGAGTTATCGTGTTAACAGACAAACCAACAAACCAACCAACAAAGTAACCAAATTCGATGAAAACATAGCCTCCTTGGCGGTAAAAACAGACTTATTTAGGATCAAAAGTATGACTTTTTTTTTGTGACAAGTATAACAGAGAAATAAGTTGTTGCAGCTGATGGAGGAATGAAACTATATAGCCAGCATAACAAACATGGGCGTCGCCAGGGTTTTTCCGGGGGGGGGCAAAGCAAATTTTTCCCCAAATGTTCGTAACTTTTTCATTATATTCTCAATTTATCATTTTTCCGAGCGTGAGCAGGGGAACAATTGCCCTAAACCCCCCCCCCCCAACCATCAAAGAAACAGGCATATGGCTTCGCACCTCTTTTTCCCTTTTTTTCCGCCCTCTTTTTTTTTACCGTTTTCCGGGGGGGGGCAAGTGCCCCCTCCCCCCCCCCCCCCCCCGCGACGCCCATGATAACAAACAGCGGTAATGTGGTACGTGGGACACCGAGCTATTTTATCAACAATAAATTGTCAATCATTTGGAACATCCAAATAAGCTCTTAAAACACACTTTTTCCCACCAAACTATTTGTAATCTTTGTCTTACTCTGGTTCAGCGCATTGGGGACTTTGTGTGAAATACGCTTTAAACTTACCGTTTGTTACAATTATAATAAGCCTCAGTACTTATGACGTCACACTTTGCTTACATGATCACTTTCCTATGGAGCCATGGGGGCCAACGGTATACCGAGCACCATAGGAAATCACACGCATAAACAAAATGTGACGTCATCAGTACAGAGGCTTATTGCGATCCATATGTGACCTTTTCCAAATATTACCGCCGAGTGATAAACTCGTGCATTGCACGCACAGGTCACGGTCGGTTAAAACACCATTGTGTGTGGGAGATTTTTCGCTGTGATTGCAAGAAACGTGTGTATACAATGAAAACACGATGGATGCAGTATAATCTTTGTACCATAGCCTAGCCTACTGCGAACTGAAATTCTGTTAATATTAAAAAAAAAAGCCCATACGATTGTTCTTCGTCGCGTATTTTCCATACTGGCAAACAGGTTGCACCGCGCCTTTTACCTGTTCGCCGGTATGGGAAAGGCGCTTACGGTGCAACCAGTTAGCAAAAAACGCGACGAATTTTCTCACGCATGCATGCATCAACTAGGAGTATATGACATGTACACATTATTATGTGGGCAATTGTTAATCTCGAAGGACTTTGGATTTAGGAAGCAAGTTCAACTGTACATGCAATATCAAAGCCGACAATTCAACAATGTTCAACATAATTTCCTTTGCGGAATTAATGGCCTTGGAGTTGTATCGCCTAAGCCAACACATGCAAGTGAACCTACGTACAGTACCACCATGGCACTCCAATTAACATCTCAAGACGTTCGACTTGCTAACATTCATGATGCAGGCCTTATAATGTTTGTACACTTACACATTCGTTGGGAGACTGTCACGTCAACACCGTTACCCGTACTATATGCTGTCAACTCAGACACCAAATTCAAAATGCAAACTCACGTATGTTCTGATGAAATGTATGTTCGTGGAGATCGTGATGATGATATTGACCTCCATTGTCATGTCATAGTCTGGTTCCCAGACCAAAATATTCTGACTATTCCTGATGAATCTTAGATTCATGTCAGGGCCGGGTGCTGTGGGTGCAGGCCAGTAAATCGGTCCGTAATTATCTACGCCGACCAAATCACGATTTGCATGGCCTCAAATTATCCAGTATTTGAGCATAATTGTGGGCCATGAACTTGAGGGTTTGCAAAAAATATAGGTGGAAGCCGTGCACAGGAGAGTGAGCTTGTATTTCTATGAAATTTGCATGAAATCACGTCAACACCGTTACCCGTACTATCCCAGCAGGCACCGACCGTCAGACTGACGTTGTATAATCGTTGTTTTATGGTCGCAACGTCGGATCAACCATACATAACCGAAAATCAACGTTGTTTTAGTCGACCAAAAGACGACGTTGTCATTATAACGTCCGCCAGACGTTGCTTTAGTGTCGACAATTTAACGTCAGAATTTTACGTAACAACAACGTCGAAATATAGTTGGAATTTGGTCGGGAATATTACCAAACGTAATTTCAACCATGGTATGACGTTGTTTTGTCAACGTCTATACAACGGACTGAAAAACAACGTTGTATTATTGTTATTTTTGCGTTTGCCTTCGCGACGTCGCAATTATGTCATGTTTTCAACCAAGATATGACGTTTGCTTTCTAACGTCGTTTCAACAACTCAAAAAACGACGTTGAATTGTGGTTGGCCGTCGGTTATAATATCCGACGTCGTACTTATGTCATGCTTTTGACTAAAATGCAACGTCCGTTTTTGACGTTTTTTCAACGACTCAAAAAGTGACGTTGAATTATGGTCGGCTGTCGGTTATAATATATGACGTCGTTATTTGGTCATGTTTTTAACCATTATTTTACGTCCGTTTTCTAACGTCGTGTCAACGAATCAAATAATGACGTTGACTTCCGGTCGTTTGATGGTTAAAATATTTGAACGTCATTATTAAGTCACGGTTTTACCCAAACTATAACGTCAGTTCTCTGACGTCTTTTCAGCGACTCAAAAATGACGTTGGATTATGGTCAGACGCTGGTTATAATATTTGACGTCATTTTTAAGTCATGTTTTCAACCATGATATTACGTTCGTTTTCTAACGTCGTTCAAATGACTCAAAATCGACGTTGTTTTGTGGTTGGCTGTTGGTTATAATAACTGACGTCGTACTTATGTCATGCTTTAAACCAAAACACAACGTCCATTATCTGACGTCATTTCAACATCTTAAAAAGCGACGTTGAATAGTGGTCGGCTGCTAGTTATAATATTTGACGTCGTTATTAAGTCATGTTTTCAACCATGATATTACGTCTGTTTTCTAACGTCATTTCAACGAATCAATTAACGACGTTGATTTCTGGTCAGTGGATGGTTACAATATCGTTATGTCATGGTTTAACCCAAAATATAACGTCCGTTTTCTGACGGTCTTTTCAGCAACTCAAAAATGACGTTGAATTGTGGTCGGCTGTTGGTTATTTACATTACGTCGATAGTGTGTCATGGTTTCGACCAAAATATAACGTCCGTTTTTCACTTAATAAAATAAAAAAGTCATTAAAGAATGCATGTGCAACGTCGTAATTCCCAAACGAAATTATCGGACGCCTTATTAATTTGAACGACTAAAAAAGACGTTGAATTGTGGTCAGCTAGCTGATGGTTATAAAATTGATGTCCGGTCTGCAGTTTCATCATTGT